CAACCCTGGTATGTGCCCTGACTGGGATTCGAACTGCGATTGTCTGGTTCACAGGCCCGCGCTCAATCCACTGAGCTACACCAGCTCATTGTTTTTTAAATCTCCTGACCGCATAGCAAGACTTTTTCCTTTTTGTTGGTAAGAAGATTATTTTGTGTGTGTTTACACGTATGTGAGAGAAGAATACGTGTAATAGGAGAGCATTTTCTTTCACAATTCATCATTTATGAGCTCTACTATTGATAATTCTCATTTATCAATAAATGCTGAACACCCTTTGCTCTGGAGGACAGTTAAGCGGTCATTCCTTTATCGATTCTTCCTAGAGGTCATGGGCGGTGATAGCTGGTGGGTGACAGAAGTGGGGGATGGGAGTTGGGTCAGTGGAGGGCAGTGCCACCAGGGTGGCATGTGAGGTTTATCTGTTCTCTCTATCAGCCCGGCTAATGGCAAATAAGCAACTGAATTTTAAAATTAGATCTTGCATCTGCTCTAAAAGGAATGAAACAGTTCCTTGAACAGTCATTGTGTGTGAAGGGATTATAAATTGCCCACTCAGTATTAACTCTTCCTTTATTCTCTGCTTACAGATTCCTGGTTTTGTTTAAGGTAGCAATGTGAATAGTTCACAACACTCCATTTCACAGTTCCTCTTGCAGGCTGGATGGCTCTGTAGTAAGGTTTTGACCAATGTGGAACAGGCAGACGAGCTTTTTGCATTTTCTCTTACTCCTTCTTCCCATTGAAAAGAGGTTATAATGTCTGGAGATGCAGCAGCCATACTGTAATCATGAGGCAACAGATATTATGTAAAGACAGGGGAGTATCACATCAGTCCTGGCATTGTTCAGCAGTGAACTCACACCTGTGAGATGACTTGGTTAAGCTTGTTAGTAGTTCCAGTGGAAGGGTTTTTTTGTTTCATGCAAGTGATTGCTTCCTAACTGACTCAGGAGAGCATGATATTGTGGAGAGAATGCTGTAGTAGGAAGCCAGAAAACTATGTTCGAAGCTTTTTTTTCCTGGCTGTTTTCCTTTCAGAAACTTATTTTAAGATATTCCCTTTAAATCAAGTCCCCAGTTGCCACTTCTCATTATGTGGCACAGAGTAGAACCTCTACAAATGAAGTTAAACTTGAAAAATAGTACAAAGGGTACCTTGCCATCCTAATGCAGATGGATTGGCCAGATGATCGATGAGGTCCCTTTTAGGTTTAAGAGATTAATTCAATGCCAAGTTATTTCTTAAAGAGAGCTGGCTATTTCAAAGAAAATAGCTTTTTGGTAGTGGTGGTGGTAGGGGTGGATATGTGTGTGTATGTGTGTGTGATTTTAGAATTAAATAATAAAACAGGTTTTATTTTCAAGATACATATAAAAGCCTATGACAAAATATCAATAATGATTTTTTTTTGTTACACTAGAGCTGAGTGTCCTGCTACTCCTCACTGTGTTTTTCTTGTACAGATGCTTGTCTTCTCTGCCTGTGTTGGGTTCAGCTCTGTCAGCTTTTACATACTGTGCTCCTCTGCCCAAAACCTGTGTTAAAGTTGATTGCTGTTGATGAATTGCCTTGAGTTTCCTGGAGGTCTAGGATTATTGTAAGCTAAGAAAGGAGGGTCATGGTGGGTGACAAAGACAGACAAATCTGTAACACAATCTGTTCAATTTCTGTGCCCCTTAATCTACGCCTGTGGATGGTCCCCAGTTCCTCGATCTGCATGCCCTGTGGTGCCAAGGAGCTTCAATGCAATGGACTGGAATGACTGTGTGCAGTGTCTGTGCAATGTCATGGCCATTGCCTAGACATGGAAGCAGGCAGGGCTTCGTTCTTAGAGGTCATTAAACCCATCCACACTAGGGACTTCCTGATGTCTCCCAGAACTCTAGACCTCTTTTCAGTGTAATTAATTCTCAGAGGGACAGCCTCCTCCTCAATATTGATGGCACTGAGGAACGTAGGCTGCCACTCAGGATAATTACCAATGGGTTGCCAATCACTGAGTGAAGCTTTGAAGATCATTTGTCATTGTAGTTGCTTTGCAAGAGAAGAGAAAGCAAATTGATTGGTAGAGTTCCTCAGGCTGAGAAAGAGAATGTCAAGGATGATTTCAGTCCCTCACCCCTAGCAAGTTTGCTCATAAACTGTGCTCCTTCTCCCTCCTCCTCCACCACTCCCTCCCCCTCCACTTCCTCTCATGCCTGCGTTATGTTTATGATGGGGCAACTGGCCACCTTCTTCTTGGGCTCCCCTCCCGCCATGGGCCTGCTACAAAAGCTTGTTTACTTCTTCTTTAGAGTTCCAGGTGGAACTTCTCTTGCCACCAGCATCTGAAGTTAAGGGCACGGGGTTGGCTAGGACAGTTGCTTTAGGGGCGTTGCTGTAGCTCTCATCAGAGCCATTAGAAGACAGCTTTGAATTCAGGTTCCTGGAGTCTGTTCAGACTTTTTTTGTCCAATGACGTATCTTTGTTTAAATGAGTGTCTTGTCCAGTGTACACGTTTTAAAATTAAGCCATTTTCGAGTTATGATGAGAGCATTACAGTGCCAAGTGTTACTATCAAACTTTTTCTTTATATTTAATGTTTTCTTTGTATTTTAGTAAGCGTATTTTAAGAATCGTGGACCTCAACCTTTGAAAATCAAGTATGTATATTGTCCTGGAAGGCAATATTGACTAGAAGGTAAAAGCAGAAATTAAAAAAAATTATATATGCCTGACTTGAGTGACTGGTTCTGTCTCATCCTAGTCGTCTTATTTAGGATAAGGCAGAACAACCTGTCTGTGCCATAATTTTAAAATTATAAAAATAGTTCCTATCTGCTGGAGTAGTTGCTAAGGGTTATTTAAAAATGAGATAATGTGGGAATGGCATTAACACAGGCCTTAATGTAGAGTAAGACTTAATAAATAGGAAAGGGACCCCCAAAACCCCTGGAATTATCTTCTGGAGGGTGGGACCCCATAGCTTCCCCCTCAGGGTGAGTGTTCTAGGAACCCATCTGTATCAGTGTACAAGCAGGTGTATTTGTGAAAGGCTGTGTTCAGCTTCAGTGAATTTTTTTTGGAAGACTCTTTCAACACGTTTACCCATTTCATGATGGGTGATTTATGAGGGCACCTGCCCACACCACACTGAGTGTTCAGCAGTTTTTGACCAAAAACAGTATGACCCCCATGCTCTGCCCTCCCTAGTCACCGATCTCACTCTGAGCAACTGTTTTTTGTTTCCCCCAATGAAAAAGGCCTCAAAGGGAAGCATTTTGCCGATGTAGAATAAGTGAAACAAAATATGGCAGAAGCACTGCAAGGCACCAAAATGGACGAGTTCAAAGACTGTTTTGAGCAGTGGAAAAAAAGTCTTGATAGGCACAGGGGTGTCCGAACTTTTGGTGTCTCTGGGCCACACTGGAAGAAGAGTTATCCTGGGTCACACGGAAAATACATAAACACTAACAAAACCCCCCAAAATCTCATAATGGTTTAAGTAAATTTATAATTTTGTGTTGGGCCACTTTCATAGTCCTCCTGGGCCGTATGCGACCCACCGTTCACAGGTTGGACGCCCCTGAACTGTATCACATCAAGTGGAAAGAACTGTGAAGGTGACAGAAGTATAAACATAGAAGAATAAATACACAATTTTTATAAGTAAATTCTGGGTTTTTTGTCCCCCTCATCATGGGTGTGTGTATGAATCTAGGAATAAATTGGAGTCTGAGATACATACTCATACACCCATGTAGCCTCATTAGCATTGTACAGTGATGATATTTTTTGTAATCTATAAGTTGTTTTTTATTAAAGTGTAACTGACATGCAACATTATATTAGTTTCATGTGTTCAACATGATACAAATATTTGTATATATTGTAAAATGATTATCACAATAATTTCAGTTAACAAAAGCATGTTTATATGTATATTTACATAAATGCAAGTATGTGTATAGGAACATTATTTCTAATGGGCATCTGGTTGTAAGTTGCCATGTGGTATAGATTTTCACTTGAAATTGTTCCACTTAATCATTTTTATTTTCTGCAGTCCACCCTCGACAACAACTAGTTTTGTTTTTTTTTCAAATCGGAAATATGCGACACGCCCAAACCTTCATTAATTCGACAGCCTCTGCACAGTGAGCCCTGACTTCATTGCATGGCATGTTTCCTGTTTGGCCCCCAGTCAGAATTCCAACCGGATCCCCTTTCACTTAGTTTCCCTGATAATTTTATGCCACGATTTAGCTTCATTTAATTCTCAAACATCTTACTTTTCTCTATGTTCGAGCCTTTGAACGAATTGTTTCCTTCATCCGAAATACCTTCTACCCCTTTCTTATGGGAATTGGAAATCCCTAATCCTGCTGGAGATCCAGCCAAAATCTCACTCTTGTTTCCACAACTCTCATCCCCAGAGATTCTATTCTGTACCTCTATTCCAGCCCCTCTTTCACTGAATTGTAATTTTTTGTAACTGGGATTTCTCCTCCACCAGATTTAACCCAAGTGCCTCTGCAGTGGCTCACACAGAGGCAGAACAGAGTGTAGGGTTGCAGGACATTTGCTGAATATTGGAATGAGTGTGTGTAAGCGTAACACATAATGTTCACATTAAAGCCAAATCAAGCAACTAATAATTTTTGCAGTCTTTAATATATAATAACTATACGTAATTCAGTTTTACCTTACTATTAAATAAATACTTTAGCACTTACTTGAAAATATCTTGTAGGCTCGAGCAGTGCTCTCAATTGAACTTGATGCAATGATGGAAAAGTTCATGCTTACTAATACATAACCATTACACATCTTTCTACTGAGCACTAGAGTGATCAAGAAAGTGAATTTTAGAGTCAGGAGTGTAAACCAGCCAGAGTGGTGGCAATGCAGGACTGCCCTGGTGCCCGGAGAAGTGACCCAGAGGGAGCAGGAGGCACAGGGTGATGCTGGCTATGGGAGCTCGTGACAGTGTAAGAGGTACTAGCTTTTGACAAGTTTGCAACATACATGAGTATAAGCTGGTCATTCTTAGCTCAGGAGGTGTTGGAAAATCTGTGCTGACTATACTGTTGGTTCAACAAATTTTTGTTGAAAAGTAAGATCCTATAATAGAAGATGGTATAGTAAGCAAGTTGAAGTAGGTGCACAGCTGTGAATGCTTGAAATCTTGGATACCACAGGAATGGAACAATTTACAGCAACCAGGGATTTGTATATGAAAAATGGACAAGGCTTTGCATTAGTTTATTCCAGGACAGCACAGCCCACATTTAATGATTTACAAGATCTGAGAGAACAGATTCTTTGGGTTAAAGACATTGATGATGTTCCAGTGATTTTGGTTGGTAATAAGCGTGACTTGGAAGAAGAAAGAGTTGTGGGAAAGGCACAAGGTCAAAATCTAGCAAGACAGTGGAACAACTGTGCATTCTCAGAATCCTCTGCAATATCAAAAATAAAAGCGAATGAGATCTTTTATGACCCAGTGAGGCAAATTAATAGAGAAACTTCAGTGCCTGGGAAGGCCTGCAGAAAGTCACCATGTCAGCTGCTTTAATGGACTAAACATGTTGTTGCTCTGAGCTGGGTCTGAGGAACTGTTGCCCAATTCAACAGTGCCAGCATTCCAACTTCGTTAAGCCTACCGATGCCTGACATGGACTTTCTGTGGCGGTGCCCTTTAGACGTGGATGAAAGCTACTGCATTGGTTTGCACACTCTAAGCACTTCCCAGTATCACGAGAGAGATTTTTACTTATACAATAGTCCTAGAGTATGAAGCTGGTAAAAACAGAGGCTACAACCTATACAGGTTTAGTATTTTTGCCTGTTAGTGATTGCTTCACATGCGTAATGTTTGGTTGAAATGTTAAATGGTGGATGAGTACCGTGGACGTGAATGTGGGAAGTAATTTTAACTGTGTGTAATTGGTCAGGAGGCCTAGGTTGCAGTAATGATTGCTATTTTGTTTAACAATGCTGTATTGCATTGTATGCATTAACGTTGAGGTATAAAGACTGTGTATCTATCCAACAGGGAGCCACAGTATTTAAATTGGCCAATCTAATGTTACAGCTACTTAGAAGTGGCTAAATGGAAAGTAAAAGCCTTCATTAAAGTGGTGCTATTTTGTATAATTTAGCATCAGTAGTTCAATAAATTTGAATTGCCATGCAAGGGCTTCCATTATTAAAAAAATTAATCTCATTTAATTATAATTAATTTAAACTTAAATTCCAATAACCCTATGTGGCTAGTCCCTTCCATATTGGACAGTGAAAGTGTATAATACGTAGTAAAAAGTTCCAGAGTTCATGTATAGGTTCAAGGTGTCTTCCTTTGTCCTAGATTTAGGAAGTAATCTATTGATTTAATCAACGTGAGGTACCTGAAACACAGAAGAAAATCTGCCTGAGTTTACCAATGAATCATTTTTGTTTATATGAAATGTTAACTCCCTTTCATAAATTAATCTATTGTGCTTAGCTCTATGAACTATTACATAATAGGAACCAAATCAGGGAAGCAATATTTGTGTGTGTTTAAATAGATTACATCTTTTCTCTTCTTTTTTTTAGGTTTATTTAAATTACATTTATTGGGGTAACATTGGCTAATAAAATGATATAGGTTTCAAGTGCATGGTTCTATGACACATTTCCCGTGTGTTGCATGTGCATTTACCGCCCACCCTCAAATCTCCTTCTGTCACCATATGTTGGACCCCCTTTACTCTTTTACTTCTGGTAACCACCACACTCTTGGTCTGTCTAAATAGGCTTTTAAACATGACCTCAATGACTTTATGTGATTACATTATTGACTAGACTATAATTTAACCAATCCTTCATTGTTTCCAGTCTTTTGCTACTATAAACATCATAAAACTGTGTACTCGTTAAGAGCATAGGCTTTGACACATAACACATCTGGCCTAAATCCTATGTTCATGACTTATTGGCTGTGTACTCCTGAGAAATTATTGAACAAATGATTATTTCTTTTACATTTTTAAAGTACATTTTATTGATTTTGCTATTACAGTTGTCCCAATTTTTTTCTCCCCTTTATCTCCCTCCTCCATGCACCACACCCCTCACCCACCACCAAACCCCCTTCTCCCCGCACAGTTCATGTCCACGGGTTGTACATATAAGTTCTTTTGCTTCTCTATTTCCTGTACTATTCTTAACCTCCCCCTGTCTGTTTTGTGCCTACCTATTATGCCTCTTATTCCCTGTATCCTTTCCCCCCATTCTCCCCCTCTCCCTCCCTACTGCTAACCCTCCATGTGATCTTCATTTCTGTGGTTCTGTCCCTGTTCTAGTTGTTTGCTTAGTATTTGTTTTTGTTTTTTAGGCTCAGTTGTTGATAGTTGTGAGTTTGTTGTCATTTTACTGTTCATAGTTTTTGATCTTCTATTTCTGAGAAAGTCCTTTCAACATTTCATATTAATAAGGGCTTGGTGATGATGAACTCCTTTAATTTTGCCTTATCTGAGAAGTGCTTTTCTGCCTTTCCATTCTAAATGATGACTTTGTTGGATAGAGTAATCTTGGTTGCAGGTCCTTGACTTTCATGACTTCGAATACTTCTTTCCAGCCCTTTCTTGCCTGTAAGGTTTGCTTTGAGAAATCAGCTGGTAGCCTTAAGGAACTCCTTTATAGGTAACTCTCTCCTTTCCTCTTACTGCTTTTAAGACTCTCCCCTTATCTTTAATCTTGGGTAACTTAATTATGATGTGTCTTGCTGTGCTACCCTTTGGGTCCAATTTCCTTGGGACTCTGGGCTTCTTGAACTTCTTGGAAGTCTGTTTCATATGTCAGATTGGGGAAGTTTTCCTTCATTATTACTTCAAATAAGTTTCTAATATCTTGCTCTTCCTTTTCTTCTTCTGGCACTCACATGATTTGGATGTTGGAATGCTTAAAGTTGTCCCAGAGATTCCTAAGCCTCTCCTCATTGTTTGCATTCTTGTTTCTTCATTCTGTTCTGGTTGGATGCTTATTTCTTCTTTTTATTCCAAATTGTTGATTTGAGCCCCAGCTTCCTGCCCTACACTGTTGGTTCCCTCTATATTTTCTTTTATTTCACTTTGTATAGCCTTCATTTCTCCCTTCATTTTGTGACCGAGCTCATTCAATTCTGTGAGCATCCTGATTACCAGTGTTTTGAACTCTGCATCAGGTTGTCTATGTCCTCATCACTTAGTTCTTTTTCTGGAATTTTAATCTCTTCTTTCATCTGGGACGTATTTCTTTGTCTCATCCCACTGTCCAGATGAATGTTTCTTTAACTCCTTGGTTGTTGGTCTTCCATACAAATGTTTTTCTGGCAGTTCTGGTTGTTCTTTGTTTTTAAATTGGTTGTTATTCTTTTGGTTGTGCGAGGAAGTGAAGTGTTTTTGCCTGTACCTCCATCTTGGTTGGAACTCCTATATCTATTTCTCTCTCAGGATTGGTTAAAAAATGTTTGGCTTCTAAGCTCATGGTAATAGGTAATTACCTTTAGTTCTACAGAAAGCAACCACAAATAAGTAAATTCCAGTAGTATCCAATAGTATGAAACCCCAAGGTACGATTTAATAAAGCATAGACTTAGTGTATAATCTTTTATTCCACTGGGGCTCTATTTGAACCTGTGAAGCAATAATTTCCTAAATTGCACCCTAGTGGCCTAAGTGTTAATTCTGCTTCCAGAGAGTTCTAGTTTCAAGTCAAGGAGTAGGTTTTGCACTATGAAATCTGAGTCTGAAAATTTTATTTCCTTTAAACCTCTAGATTAAGAAATCACAGCTATCAAAATGAAACTGGAAATTAATAGATGAATCAACTGAATTTCATACTTTTTTTTTTCAGATGCTAGGAATTGTTTGACTCAGTGTTCAGGACACTTGAAGCAACGTTTTATGTTCCATTATGTTTATGTTGGTGTTCACTATCTCAGGAGACTAGTTGTATCTACTCCTTTTTTATTTTAATTTTTTTGGTCTAGTTTAATTTTTATTGCCCTGTTTTATAATGTGCTTGGTTTTGCAAGCTATCTGATACTTGGAAATTCCCCCTCAAGAGAAAATAAATTTCTTTTTTTTACTTTATTGACTAATTATATCCCATATGAGCCCCACATTTTGGGTGGGACAAAGGAAATTTATTTAATCTACTCCAGAATATTTAATGGTTCCTTTAAATAAAAGTATATTCCAAGGTCCTCATTTTTTCTGATTTTCACACTTTTTCCATTTTACTCTCTTTTCAGGAGCTGCTTGGCATATAAGAAGCTTAAATGGCCCTGAGGGAAGGTGGTGTATGGAAATCATGGGGTTGAGTTCTGTATACGCCTTTTCCATAGGATGATAGCTGTGGAGTGGCTAACAGGACCACTCTCTGGGCTGGTGGATGTGCTGATACGTGATAGGTCCCATCTGCTGGGAGAGAATACCATTCTCTACTCTTGATTTCTGTGAAAAATTATTTTCCTAAAGCATGTTCTATGGCCTTGTGCTCTACTCCTTACTCTTCTTCTGGCAGAGGTGGTGTGAGGTTCTGGCTGGAAGGCAGCAGGTTTCTGGATCGTTTGGAGAACATCTGTCCAAGGCCCTGAGTGTGGTCCCTTTTATCTTTCCCAGTGAGAAGTAATATCTAGGGCACGTAGGTCTGCTTTGCAAACTCATACTCCTCTTGTGTGTGCTGTGTCAAGTCTGGATGCAGATCTGGGTAGGGAGATGTCAGACCCATTGACTTTCACAAGTTGCAGTCTTTGATGTATCTGTACCACTAAGTAGAAGGGATATTTTAACCTCCACCTTTACTCTTTTATTTCATTTCTCAAACTCTAGGTCCTGGATTGGTGGGTAGGGTTAGGAAGAGGGATGGCACTCAGATAATTCCAGTATACTAGTGTCTTTGTCAAGAACATAAAGAAATAAAAGAACCTGGAATTTTATAATCTTGGGAAGACTTTTGGATAGCCATAAAAATAAATCCTTTGACCTTAACTTTAATAGTTTTCTTCCTTCTTTTCTTCCCACCTTCCTATCCTCCCTCCCTTCCCTTCCCTCCCTCCCTCCCTCCCTCCCTCCCTCCCTCCCTCCCTCCCTCCCTCCCTCCCTTCCTTCCTTCCTTCCTTCCTTCCTTCCTTCCTTCCTTCCTTCCTTCCTTCCTTCCTTCCTTCCTTCCCCACTCCTTCTCCTCCTCCTTGTTCTTCTTTATAAAGTTTTATTTAAGGTCTAGTTTAGACTACTTGCTCAGGATTTGGCCAATGAAGGGACTGTATTCCCTGTAGCATTTTAAGCCAGACCTGAGAACCCCTAGGAGATATCTTTGGCTTTGGGATGGTAAGGGTTGACCTTTGTCAGGGATCAGTACAGGTCTGGGTTACTTGTGTTGCTTTGCAATTTCCTGAGGATTTCTCTGACATACTCTTTCAATCAACAGATGCAAATTTTGCTTGTGAATTGTAGAGAATCAGATAGCAGCTTTACAGAGAAAAATGAACTTTGTTAAAGAAAGTAAAGGGAAGCCCCTACTGTCCTGGTATCAATCTCAGCCTAGGTA